TAGTTGGGCTAGTTCAGGGATGACTACGTATTCTAGGCTAGTGGCTCTTCGTGCCTCGTCATAGAGGTCTACATCGCTAAGATTGTCCTCTAACGTGAGATCGTGTCTGGGGTATGGCGTGGATAGTCTGATCATCTTGACCTTGACTATTGCCTGCTTGCTAGTTTTGTTCTTCGGGCAATCTCTGCGGAAGTGTCCTACTTCGCCGCATCGGAGACATGCCTTGTTGTCGAAGCGCTTTTGTCGTTCGTCCTTGGAGACACTATCTTGGTTTTTCCAGGAATTTTTTTTGTTCTTACTCTTGTCTTGGACTTTACTAGTCATGACGGTGTCACCGTCCCTGTCTGTGCGGTTTCGCTGTTTCTTCATGTTGGCCACTGTAGGCTGAAATCGTCCCTTTTGCTGGGCTCGTTCCCACAGTCGGTTGTCGATTCGGGTGGCTAGCTCGACTAGCTTATGAAGTGTGTCGGGTTTGTCGTGGTGCACAAGACCGTCTTTGACATTGTCCTTGAGTCCGGCTTCGAATACCGTTCGAAGTGCTGCGTCGTCCCAGTCGATTCTAGCTTGGAGCTGTTTAAACTCGGCTGTATACGCTAATACGGACTTGGTTTGCCTCAAGCAAGTAATTGCTTTCTCCGCTTGGTTCTTTACGTCTACTTTCCTAAAGATGCGTCCTATTTCTTCCTTAAAACTTTCCTAATCCTTAAACAAGGCCTTAGTTTCTTCCCTAGTTCCGTAGGTGGTGGGTGAGGTCAGGAAATCCTTAACATATAGCTGCATCTACATAGCTGCTTTGCCCTTCATGTGTGTGTTAGCCATTAGGATCTTTTCCTAGTCATTAGGTACTTGGTTAAATCCACAGTACAGGTCGATGTTAGTGAGGAACGTCCTTAGTTCGTTTCGTCCTCCTTCATATTTCTCGGGTACTGCCATCTTAGGTTTTAGGGGTGGTTTCTCGTTAGGCGTAGCTATAAGCTAGCTTACCATCTAGGCTATCATTTCTTACATAGCTGCCATCTGCTTAGCTTAGTCGCTATGCTGCTTTTCCTGCATGCGTAGCCTTCGCTTAAGATCTCGTACCTCGGCCTAGTTCGTGTCGTTGTTCTCGTCATCTAAAGAGTCAGAATCCGAACCACTTCCTTCGAGCATCTCGTCATCGAGAGCTAGTGAGGGCGTAGGGGCCGCAGCCGTGGGCTCCTGTCCCTAGGTGAACTGGTTTCCGTTGTGGGCCATTATGGTAATCTTATTTGAGCGAACTATTGGTTAAACTCCTCCACTGAATTCGGTGGTGGTCAAAGTGTTACACGGGGTTCGACTATACTTAGCTAGGACTCGATCTGGGTTAGGGCGAGTCAGCGGGTTCGTGGTAAGCCGTGTGATTGCCGAGTAATTTAGGTGGAAAAGAGTTATAGATGTTTAACTAATAGTAAAGACAATTAATTTTATAGTAAGATAGAATAACAAAGTACTAATCTTGTTAAGTAAAGAACTTGTAAGAGAGTATAGTATAATAAGTTGACCATAACGAGTGTAATAATGAAATCCAACACATTCTTATA